TTTTTTTACTCCACATATTAAAGTCCCCTCTCCCATCATACATACTCATTTCAAACTCAGCAGTAGTCATCACAGAAATGTCAGGATAATGTATAAAGCACAAGTTTGAAATTCAAGAATACACAGAGGGTCACATAGAACAGGACTATTTACAGATCACAGATTAGTGTTAATCAACATTGCACTTAGTAAGATAATCTCAAAACAATGATCACTCGATTTATGGAAAAGAAGCAGGAACAAAAAAAAGAGATTGCTATCCTATGTATCTCAACTGAATTTCTCCAACAAGACCTTCCAATTGCACTCCTCCACTGTATTGTTATCTCAAATTCCTAAGACTTCTTAGAGTCTTTGGACAAAGACCAATCACGGGAGGCTTTTACAGTATAAGGTAAATCAAGGAAAAATATTCAGGAAATACAACAAGTAAGATTACCAGACACGAAGTATAGGAAAGATCTCACCAAAAGAATTCTAAGAACTCAAATTCCTTTTGCTCGAGTTCACACAGTTTGAGGCAGTATTCGAATGCACAGTTTCCTTGAGGATCAGGTATCATTATTCAAGAGGCCATGGCTCTGATACCACTAAAAGAACGAGAAAACTTCAAGATTAACCACAGTTATATGATCAAATCATTCAATAACAGAAATAAAATGTAGAAAATAAAAGGAATCAACACAAGGATTTTTTCAGCCATAGCCCCAGAGATTCGGCGACCACTTTCTAACGCCTAATCTCCTGTTGAGCATCCATTATAAATGGATAAAGCTCAGTTGCACTAATAGCCCAAAGATCGATAGCAAGTATACAAGAATATTCCAGAAATATTACAAAGAACTAAGCCACGAAGACTTATCTTAGCAAGAACTACACGACAGGCCAATATTTCACAAAGGAATCGAACAGATCACTAAGATCTTTCACGGATCAGAACTGCTCACGATAAATCACATAGATTCATACAAAACCACATAGGGTAGCACACTATTATGCAGATCTATAGTATCACAAAGTATTCACGCATTGTTTAACTGGAACACTCAAGATTTATGAACCCTAATCACCAAGAAAAGAGGAATTCTCACGCAGAGAAGAAAGAGAACAGAGAGATGAATAGCCGACTCAAAATATCTCAAAAGTGAGCTGAAAAGGCATGTTTGGAATGCTTAAAGATAGAAGGATCCGGAAGCTCATCCAATGGTCATTACACAGCCACGTGTTTCAATCCGGTCAATTCCATTTATTTCCAAAAATGTTAATCCAAAACATGACTTCATCACAATATTTGGAAGCACACTTTTATAAGTGATGAAAACACGGTTTGAATCTCAACACATGCTAAGGAAAACAACTCCATGTTGAAAATTGGGTACACAGATGTTGAGCCAAAGTGAGCGAACATATTTCGAAAAAACAATTTTGCTGGGGGAAGGGGATTTTGTAATTTAGATAGTATCTATAAATTTAAAGAGTAATTATATATATATATATATAAGAGAGTAGCACACTATTATGCAGATCTATAATATCACAAAGTATTCACGCATTGATTCACTGAAACACTCAAGATTTATGAACGCTAATCACCAAGAAAAGAGGTATTCTCATGCAGAGAAGAGAGAGAACAGAGAGATGAATAGCCGACTCAATCTCTCAAAAGTGAGCTGAAAAGGCATGTTTGGAATACTTAAAGATAGAAGGATCTAGAAGCTCATCTAACGGTCATTACACAGCCACGTGTTTCAATCCGGTCAATTCCATTTATTTCCAAAAATGTTAATCCAAAACACGACTTCATCACAATATTTGGAAGCACACTTTTCTAAGTGATGAGAACACGGTTAGAATCTCAACACATGCAAAGGAAAACAACCTCATGTTGAAAATTGGGTACACAGATGTTGAGCCAAAGTGAGCGAACATATTTCGAAAAAACAATTTTGCTGGGGAAAGGGGATTTTGTAATTTAGATAGTATCTATAAATTTAAAGAGTAATTATATATATATATATTAACACTTAATTTTCTTACTCTCGATATATATATATATATTTTATCTTTTATTTTCACTAGTTAAATAGCACTCAAACGATCAATGATTTGCAATAAGAGAATTTAACTCCTAGAAGTTTAAAGTGCATTCCATAAACTTTAAAATGATATTAAATTATACTTGAATGTCAAGAAACGATCAGCAACATCAAATTCATGCATCAAGTATACATCACAGCCAATTATTTATTCGGTTGTGCTACATATTCATCATCACTCACGGATTGATGTACATGCACATTATTTGGTAAAATATGATTGGATCAAAAATTTTTAGAAAAAAAAGAACTTTACTTCTCTTCTTGACAACCCATTTATCTGTAAAAATTTTCTTAACTCCTTATGTACAAATAACGTTATTCTTATTTATATACTTATTAGCAAATTATTAAGTTATGGAATGTAGGGCTGGGCAAATCTCCCGACCCGAACCGAACCCGAACCCGAACCCGAACCGAACCGAACCGAACCTAACGGTTCTTGTCAAATTAAATACCCGAACGGGTATCTGAATTGAGAACCGACGGGTACGGTTCGATTCTCGATTCTAGACTAAGAACTGAAGAACCGAATAAGAACCGAATATCTCTAATTTTTTTTTATATTGAGTAGATCAAATTATTTTAATTTTAATTTTTTCTGAACAAATTAACAAATTAATGATTTCTAAATCCAAATTTTTGGCCCAATAATTTGTTTCGTTTTTAATTTTTTAATTTTTGGCCCAATTACCCATTTTATTGTTTCATTTTTTAGCCAAGTAAGATCAAATCCACTAAATAACCCTAAACACCAACACTAAAGTGCATAACGTTGTCTCGACTCTCGCACTCACTCTCGCAGCCTCGCTAATATTCCAAAACCTATACAATTATCGGCCGACACTGTGACCTCTGATCGAAGCTGTGACCTTCGCCAACCTAAGCTTTGATCGCAGCGATCATTTGAACAAGGTAGTTTACTAGTTTCCAACATTCCAAAACCATTGAATGTATTCTTAGTTGTATTTATATAATATTGTTATAAATGTTAAAAAATTTAATTATAGTACAGAATCGAATCGAACCGAACCGAACCCGAACGGTTCCATAATTATATTTGGACTTGACGGTTCCATTTACTAGATACCCGAAAAGTTCGGTTCGGTTCGGTTCGGTTCTCTTTAGAACCGAACCGAACCGACCCGCGCCCACCCCTAATGGAATGATTAAGACCACAAAGTCTTAAAAACGAATTTGGGCTACACGCTAAGGACAAGTCACTGGGCTTAGAGTGTAGTCCAATTCTCTGGCCATGGCCTGTTTATATGTTAGTGATGTATTATTTTTGTATCATTTTCACGTTGTCAGAAAATTACCCTAAAAGATGTGAAACTCAATTTTAGACAAAATTCAATGCGCCCGAACCTTATAAATTATTCACCCCAATTTCCGGACCCAAATTCTTTTAAATTTCGTCAAAGCTGAGTGCACCCAAACTCTAGAAACTATCAACCAGAATTTCCAACTCAAAAGGGTAATATGTACCAACGGTACTGGATCGCATTATTCATAAATTTTACTTCTTAGTTTGTCTTTCGGATTTCCTTAAAAAATTAAGAAAGCACATTCAAATTTTATAATTAATCAAGGCAGAATCATTTCTAAGATATTCCAATTCATTTAATTACTAAAGACATCTTAATATAACATTTATAAAATCACTTGCCTTTTTGTGATTAATATTCTAACACTCCGTCTAATAAATAAAACACAGTCCATGTTTGATCTCAATTTTCCAGAACTCATTTTTGGGGAAAAATATGTGCCAAACATGGCTTAAAACCAACCAAAAAAAAAAAAGGTTTAACTATACAATTATACAAAGCAAAGGCAACAACCATTGATTGCTTCCACTCTAATATGACCAATACATGTGATGCAACAAATTAATATCCCAATTCCCACAAATGAATATGTGAAGCTGTCAATGACAACAAAAAGAGAGAGATACCTATAAGCATAAGAAGAAGACGAAGAGGCCGAACTTGTGGTTGAGTAATCGAATTTCTAGCCGGAACTTTTGCAACTTTGCTGTTCTCTTCAAGTTTATCATGCATGGTTCTTGATAAAAAGGACGGTAGATTTTATTGGGGAAGATGATTGGAATAGAATGGAGAAGAAGGCGGTTCGTTTTCCCTTTTATTTTATTTTTTCAAGGGATGAGCGATTTTGGGCTTTTCTTAGAGGCCCCTTAAAAATTAGAGGCCCAAGGCAGTGGCCTTACTTGCCTTGGGCCAGGGCCTACCTTGATTAATACTTATTAATTATTTAAATATTTATATATTATTACACTTGAAATTAAATATTGTGTTTAGGGGCTACATAATAATTAAACGCTTAGGACCTTTAAATCTCTTGGGTCTGGCCTTGCTCCTCTATGAAAACACCCAAACCCACTCAAGGGTATTTTTGGTAATATTTTTCTACTGTCGTAGTCAATTATTGCAGCCCTGTCTGAATCCATGTCCTATATAACAACAATATTTTAGAATAAAATTCTCTGAAAATGACTCACAAACAAGTGCATACTAAAAATATGATTTTTATCGGGCTAAATTTCTAACCATGTGTCTCAACAAAAACATGTTAGCTTAGTTCAGATTAAAGCCTTCCCACTATTAAGGAAGGGGAAAAATGAAAAGCCAATGTGTTGCTCCAGTCATTTTTTCGGGTACATGCCAATTTTCTAAATAGCCATAAAAATTCTTTAAAGAAAATGTTGTCATCATTTTTACGATTATTTTTACTGATCTTCACCTTTAATTTTGAGCTCCAATTCGACATTGTTATATTTGTACTTCGTCCATATCTTTCAATTATAACAACTTATAAATGACCGATTCGATCAAACTTGTACCAATGCGTTGCGGATTTTGCAATGGATTTTGGAAAAGAAATGTGTACAACTAACTAAGCACGACCATTTTTCATAATCTCGAAACCAACAATTACGACGACGAAGTCTTGATTTCAATTCGATACACCATAAGTTAAAGAAAAAAGAGACAAGACGAAGTGGATTTGCATAATGCTTTATTATGGCATATATGTAGAAGTAGAACATCCAAAGCAAACCATCTACTACCAAATACCAACGTCCATGAACCCATCTTCGGTGGCAAAACCCCTAAACATCCCGACTGAATTAAACCCATAAGCCACTTCGCCATTATTAGATACAGCTATCAACCCAGCCTTGCCGTTGTCCAGCCGCTTCTTGATCACATAATCCACAGCCTCCTGGAGGTTTAGGCCCTTGTACTCCATAAGAGCCGCAACATCGCGAGCCAGGGTCCCACGTATAATGGCCTCGCCTTCACCTGTGCACGAAACACCGCACAAGTCACAAGCATAGGTGCCAGCACCAATTAGAGGAGAGTCGCCTATGCGACCTGTCATTTTATTCATAAGTCCACCGGTCGAGGTGGCAGCAGCGCATCGACGTTCACTATCTACCACCACACACCCAACTGTCTCAGGGGCATAAACACTAATTGGAAGTCCATTCATTTGAATAGGGCTCTCCACCACTGCACTACATGATTCTGATCCAGCTAGTGGAATCCTATAATCAAACTGTCAAATACACATAACAAAAGCATTGGATGCTGAGTTAGCTTTTCAAAGAGAATAATGTTATATAGCAACACTCATGCTCAACAACGCCTAAAGTAACTGCATACTCCATATCATACAATTGGTGATCAATAGTATTTATTTATTTATTTCAACTACAAATTGTAGAGTGTCGAACCCACTACCATTTAAACTAACAGTTGTGCTACATGTACATGACATGATAGTTTATATACACATGATCTGGTGAAGTACGATTGGGACTGAATTTCTTAACCAAATGAAAAAAAAAAACACTTCCCTCCTATCTTTTTGACACCTCATCTGTAGCATTATTCTTAAACTAATGTTGAGCACGACTGGAGCAGCATAGCATAATGCATAAAAAAAGTAATATGAGTTGGAAATTTACCATGATGGTGTTGGCTTCTTTTGCCAATTTGAGCATGCCAATGTTGTCCTCAGTGATGAAGTAATTATTGTCCACCATTTCCACACCCTAACAAAACCCTCAAACTTGATTAATTTTAATTTATTTTCTTTTGAAATTCTTGCACGTGCCATATAAAAAAGAAAGGATTTGAAGTTAAGGCAAGCACGAAAGAACCCTATTGCACAATAATCTTGGTTAGGACTAAAAGAATACTATTTTGTATTGTGTACCGAAAATATGTCGTTCAACTATGAATCCAGGATGAGCCAATTAGGCAATTATATAGAATATATAGCACCATTTGGCACGGATTAATCTAAGTCAAAGTCAACAATGAATTTAAACTACATATTTCATGGGTTCAACAGTTTTTCAACCATAAGTTTCATCAACTTTTATTAAAATCTACTAAATATCTGATTTTAATCCAAAGGAGCATAAAGTTATGAACCTTTTTAAGTTAATTATCTATTCTTGCTTATTGATTTCGAAAGGTTACTAAATCTGCATGGACTCATTTAATACTCGAGTTATTCACGAATATTGGATTCAGAGCATGGGAAACGTGAAAATATGAATGAACGACAATTTATTCAAATAATTACAGTAATAATACTTATTAAGGCAAAAGACCTGTTGTTTAGCAAATTCTTCGGCTCCAGAGAATGCAAGATAAGAATGGGGAGACTTTTCCATTACGAGGCGGGCAAGGGAAATAGGGTTCTTCACGGTGGTGATACCAGAAACGGCGCCGCATCTCCTGCCAGAACCATCCATGATGCTGGCCTCCATCTCCACCGTTCCATTCTCAGTCAGTGCAGATCCACGGCCGGAATTGAATAAAGGATCACTTTCTAATTCGCGCACCTATGCAACCGTATGCACCATATTGAAATCCCACAAAATTAGCATAACATTAACCAAAAAAAAATTTTTAAAAATGGAAAAATTACTTTTTATGAGTTACAGAACCAAAAATTATAACACAGCCGTGCATGGAATCTTAGAACATCAATGTTAATTTGTCGAAAAATTAAATCAAAAATAAATTCATAATGGAAGACTGAAAAGGAAAATTATCTCAATTAAACAGATGAGGGATTGGAGCGTACGATGAGTTCAACGACATCTATAGCAGAGAAGGAGGAGCGAAGAGAGGAGATGCCAAGATTGAGGCATCGAGTCAGGAGTTGTTTGGCCTCTTCTTGGCGCTCTTGTGGGAGGTTTGGATCCACACCAGCGCCGCCGTGAACCGCTATGGCCCAACCGCCCATTCTCTCTCTCTCCACACGGTCGCTCGCTTTGGGTGTTTTGTTACTGAACCAACACCCTCCCTCTCTCTCTCTCTCTCCTACTATACTTGCACAAGGCGAGGGTGGTGGGATTTTCTCGGTGAATTTATAGGCCTTGGATTTGTAATGTATGACACGGAATTCAAATATCCTGTCAATTGGATGTAATTTTATTCAATTTTGGGTTCCGACTAGGAACGAATTCTCCCCTCGCCCATTTATCGCAAGGTGATTTACGCTGTCTTAATGTCTTTTCATTTTCTCTGTTCTTCTTTTTATTATTATTAAAAAAAAAGGTTGAACCCCAACCTCGACGGCTCTTACTGTCCCGTCCCGCTCCTAAAGATTTGTGAGGGAGGTAAATCGCGAGATGTGTTACAACAGGTTAGGGAATAAAAGCTGTCTGTATACTGCGCTTACAAGGAGTCCAATTTCATGTCTTAGGAATCGAACTCCCACACTGCGGTTACCAACAAGGCGTGAAATAGCCACACTCCTGTCCTTTGCACCACTGAACTATGCGCCGGGGGCTTATTATTATTATTACTACTCACGTTGACATCGGTTTAGGTGATAATATGTAACTTTAAATAATATATACAATTAAAAGTAAAAATTTATTACATATTTAAATATCTAATAAAATCAGACCAATGTTAAATATCACTGGTACTATATAACATTATTCTAATTTTTTAAGGTGTTTTTGCCCTTTCCTTTTTCCATTTTTTTTTTCCTTCTTAAACTGGCGATGAGTCCACATTTCCTCAATTGTACAATCTTCTTGGAGAGAGAATATATATAAGACTTGCCGTAGATTATTATATTTCTTTCTTAGCCTTAATTCCATCCTTAATATCTTTGTTAATGCAATTTTCTGGCAGTTTAAAATTTCAATCCGAAAGATTCTTCAAGATAACACTAGAAAAATAATTAATGATCTTTGGACAGTGTCCAACATTTTGTCCCTCAACTCAGAATGCTGATGAAATCAAATATAAATTAAAAATTATGCAATTCCATGTATCAGAGTTTGGCATTGTTGGCCCACAAAATAAATTAATACAAGATCACCACGTGATGTTTAAATATATTTATTTCTTAAGAGGCATTTATAGTTAAAGGAAGGTGGTGAATCGATAATAAATGTTCGATATATATCAGAGATATTTCAAGTGGGGAAAAAGAGAGAAAACCCGATTAAGGTCGTGTAATAAGGAAATAATGTTACGTAGTATTAATAGGCTCCTATGTATAAAAAGTATGTACAAGTAAATTTTTTCGTACTAGAATTGCTTAACACCAACTTAAGTGCCACTAGATCCACAAAGTTTACTATCGAATATTAAAATGAATAAAACTACGTGTACACTGTCAGTGTAGATAATAGATGACATTCCCCTTGCATGGAGGCGGCCGATGCATAACAAGTTATTTGCGGGCTCTCCTCTATATGAGAGGGATGTCAACGATTATGTATACGAAAAGTGAACATATATTAATACTCTATTAAAATAGATTTCTAAAATCTATCAACTATCCCTATGGACAGCTTTCTCCGTGTTCCAATTCATTTGGCATAGTGGTTTAATCTTTATTATTCAATTGGTCCAAGTAGAGATTTGAGAGAGACGGTGGCCCAAAAAGTTAGGACGAAGGGGTCCCACAAGAACTGGATCCCTAACAATTTCAATTTATTAATATATGCTATGTTTGAGTCATATTTTAAAAAATATATATATATTCTTAAATAATTATTTGACGTTATTTCAATAACATATTTTTTAATAAAATAATATTACAAGTAAATTCAAAAATTTTATTTATTTTTAACAATATATTTTCCTTCAATACACTATTCAAAAATGTATTTTAAGAAAAAATAATGTGACTCAAACAATGGTATAATAACTTTAATTAGGATGCGATAAGGATGATGATTGGTTGGATTTGGTGCTTACTCATCGCTGCACCAGCAACAGATGAGCATAGAATGGTCCGACTCCATTAGATTCAAAAAAAAAAAAAGCAGCAGATTACTGCTTGCGTATTTGCTACAAGAAGTGTTGTACTATTTCTTTCTTTCTCATTTAGATTATGCTATTAGTAATCTAGTTCGTATAATCCTAATTCACAATGGTTACGATATTTCCAATTTTTTATCATGCGGACCATGTCATGAGAAACTTAATTTTGAAGAGTATAACATAAGTGTACGACAAAAAGAAATGGACAAAAAGAAAGCCAGCTATTATAATATATTAGCACCCTTTCCTTTCATATATATTTTAATCTCACATTTCGAATGACCTACCCATTTCATTAAGTTTTTTTTTAAAATCTACTAAACATATGATTTTTAGCTAAATCAAAAAGGGATTAAAATGATTATGTGGTGTTTATTACGAGGCTGGGGCGCATGTATCTATAGTGCTTTAGATAGTAGATAACCAATAGAATTAGGATCCCAGGAGGCTATATGTCGATCCAAATATGTAGGAAGTAGTGTTTTTAGAGGACTTTGAGTTAAGCCAATATTCAATGGGAGAAGGATTTGTATTCTTTGAATAAGTATAAGGTCAAGTAGAAGCATATTACAATTATATATCAGTAATAACCAATCATGCCTCGATTGAGTAGGTGGTCGAGTATTCATCTTGGGAGGCAAAAGAACCTGCCCTGGAATAAAGTCACCTGAATAGTTCAATACGATCATCCCATAGGTCAGAAGTAGACCATGATGATCTTGGGATGCAAAGATCAAGATCAAGATCAAGATCAAGATGAAGTACACCTTATTATTACGTCGAGAAAATTCCGTGTGCTAGAAAGTGAACGTGGTCCTCAGGCTGAAGCCCTCGGTGTGACCATATACCATGCCTAAAAGTCCAGAGACGGATTTAGTGGGGCTGGGTTGGGCTGTAACCCCCCCCCCCCCACACTCAGGACCAAGAGCTTTTTTTTAAGGTATTTTTTTTTTGGTTAAAAATAAGTTTTGGTGTAAAAAAAAATTTTTTCCGCATAGTAGTCTGGTTTGAAATTTTGTAGCTCGATCTTGGATCCGTTCCTGTAAAAGTCCCTATCACAATTCTGCGAAAGCCTCTTTTACTTATGGAACTACCTCTCCTCTATTATTTGTGGGAACCATAAATTACACTCTCGTGATCATTAAATATTTGCATAAACCTAAATGGAACTAAACTGAAAAGGTTCTTCAAAATGGAGGACGACACAGATCCCACCCCGAGGAGCTTGTGCACTTGATTTATTCAGCCATGATAGGCGCATTACAGACAAAACTTTTGATATCAAATCCATCTTTTACACTATTACAAGGAATCTTTTATTAGCCACCTTCGCCACGATAGAGACAGATTCCACCACGTTTTCAAGATTCCAATCGCATTAATCTTTGTGGAGACTCCTCTTAAGCCTTATTCAAAAGTTTCACATGAGTCAGATACTCACTCACGAAACAATTAGTAGTGAAAGATTGCAACACGTCATTTTCTTTTTTTTTATCTTTGGTGCATTTAGTACATTGTACGTATTAATCCCCTGTTTTATGGCTATTAATTTAAAAGTCTTTTCTTTTCTTTTCGTACCCATTTTCAATCACACATTCATAAAATAAAATATTCTGCACGTCAACCAAAATTTTTTTCCTACTTTTTTAATTGCGGGTACTCTCAAAGTTCACAATTCAAAATATTGTTTTCTCAAATAATGACCATTTAACATGGGTTAAATCGAGATGGATTACAATATATTGTTGGATTATGTGTCAATATAGTATAGTTTTGTTAATATAAAATAACAATTTGATAATAAATAAATTTGGTTTTTATTTATTTTTTGTTATTTTATTTATTTGATAATGATCATCGAATTAAAGTGCTTATAATCACTAGTGATAGTAAAAGTTGGGGACTTACGTTGTGAAGTATTGTCACACTATATTTTGATTATAAATTAGTTTGTTCACAGGCAATTTATACGGGTTAACATATTGTATTGAAAAATATTAATGTTGGCTAATTTATTATTCAGGATAGTGATTTGTCCAGTCACATTAATACACTTCGTGTGAATTGATCACATCACATATTGAGTTTAATTATATACCATAACCACATAGAAAAGTTAAATTTCATTTGATCGTCGAATATTTCGTTAAAATTTTGACAGGATTGTTACATAATTTTGTGAATTTAGTAATCATTTGATTCACCAATGCACAATATCATTTCTAATCAATCAAATATCTCGTTAAGTTAGACATTTGAGAATGGGCGAAGTAGATAACATTAGTTCATGTAAAGAATTGTCATCGTAAAAATGGATTTAGTGACTATTTAAGTGTTTTATGTTGAACGATTATAAATTTGAATCCAGTGTTAAGCGAGACTAGACTTATATACAATAAGTCAGAGAAAAAATAGTGCAGATATATTAATTTTTATGATTATATATATTTCAAGTGTACAGTTTTTTGCCTTTAGTAGAAAAATAAAGACTAATAATTAGATTGATGGTTTACAATCAACTAGACAATAACTTATTATTAAAGTTTGGATAATATATGTTTGAACATGTCTCTATGGTTGCTTGATTAGACAAAATCTTATTATTGAAGTTTGGATAATATATGCTCAAACGTGTCTCTATGGTAGCTCAAAACATTTTGGACTTAATTGTAATTACTTCAAAAAATTTGGATTTAATTGTAATTAAAGTTTAGAAACGACACGTGCAATTTTATCAACTGGGGCCTAATTTGCCTGTGACTTGGAGATTAGTTTTTGCTACCCTATGGTGGCTGAAAATCATAAAAAAAGGGGGGGGGGGGGGGGGGTGGGGTTGTTTTCTTTTCTTAGTCAATTTGGTTTTTGATTTAATTAAAAGAATATGTCTACACATCGACTTTAAATTTAACTTTGGAGAATGACATAGAAAGTTTGAAGGTTGAACGCATCATATTATTGAAATTAAAAGTTGGAAGTCTGTAATGCAAAAAGGTTGAAATTTCATGAATCATATCATTTTGATAAATTTCGAATCTTTATTTCTTGAGTATTACATACACATGAACATCTATTAACGATCTTGAATTAACAAGAAAATATTTATATTCTAAATAAT